AAGTAATAAGTATTTGGAGGTATTTAATGAGGTAATAAGTTCTTGAAGTGTTTGATGACTTAATAAGTTACTTGCGGTTCTTTTAGCCTGAGTGAATCTAAGATGCATCTTCTCCACTCACTGTGTTAATAAATATTGAATTAGTAATCTGAGTATCACCACTCTACTCCTTCTAAACATTGGTTCCCAGAAAATAATACTTACTCACGTGCCTAGACATCTACCACACTACCCAACAACTTTCCATGAGTTATGTTATATAATGAAAAGTCTGGGTGGTGGCAGCTACCCTTTGTAAGTATAAAAAGTGTTGTACAAAGAATAACATGGTTTCCCCAGACTAACCCATGTATAAGAATAGACATAAAACAAAGTATACTTCAGAAAGGAAAGAACATTGACTTGGAAAACATAAGTAGAGAAGCATAAGAGTTACTTGTATAAGAATATAAGGTATATAGAGATAAAGAACATATCAGAATATGAGCAAGAATACCTAAGAATAAATGTATATATATATATATATATATATATATATATATATGTGTGTGTGGAAAGAGTTGAAGAAGGATAAGTATATAAAACAGAGTACTCATTGGAAAGAGTACTACACAGAGCATATAAGTATGGATAAATAGACTACTAACAGAAAAGAATAGCTGGATGGTAAATTATTGAAAAGAGAAAACTCGGCCCATTACAAAGTAACAGGTCTGGACTTAGCATATATGGGTGTAACATCTTTGCCAATGGTGATATGAGCTTCATAACCCTTTATACCACCCTGTCCCTTTACAAATAAAATCTTGTCTTTTTCAAGCAATTTCTCAAGACCTGGAATACTGTTACACATTCTAACACTAAATATCTCCTTCCAGTCCATCTCAAGTTCACACAACCAGTTCTTACCTAACAAAGTTGGTCTATTCACATAACTAGCTATAATTAATGGCAACTTTAAATTCAGATTTTTGTACTTTACCTCACACTCTAATTTACCTTCTGTGTTCAAAATATCTCCAGTATAAGTTCTCAACTTGACACCTGAGTCTTCTAAAGGCACATGCGCAAATAGTTTCTCATACATATCTTTACTCATTATGGAGAAATCAGCTGCAGTATCCATTTCCATGGTTACAGGTGTGTCATTAATACACAAGTCCACATTATACCTATGTTTAACTTTCTCTTCACGACTGGTGTAAATAGTAAACACATGGGCACTCTCATCATTATCAGATCCAAAATTACTAACACTCTCATGAATACTGTTTTTCATTTCCTTCTCTCCACCTTCAACGGCATGTACTCTACCTTTATCACTTCACAGGCAGGAGCAATATGTCCAATACGTTGACAATTGTAACATTTTGAATTCTTGAACTTACACTGAAAGCTTTCATGTTTCCCTCGGCACCTCTTACATTTTAAATCAGCATTTGTTCTTTGTTTTGTGGTATAATTATTCCTTTTAGCTACAGTTAGTTTACACACTGAGCCACTACTGCCAACTGTTTCACTACCAGCATTGGGAACAAATTCTCTGGTGTTTTTCTCGGCCAATTCCATACTTGTAGCTATCTGACATGCACTTTCAAAAGTTAAGTTAGTGGTGTTCATTAACTTATTCTGTATTTTTTCATAATTCAGGCCTATTACAAACCTGTCTCTTAGAGCTCGGTTCAAGAACTGTCCAAAGTTACAGTGAATGGATAACTTCTTCAAAGCTACTATATAATTACTTACTGATTCATCTTTACCTCTATCTCTGGTGCCAAATGTGTAACTTTCAGCGATCTCAAGTGGAGCAGGATCAAAATGTTGCTTCAGAATCTTGGTAATCTGAATCAGTGAGGAGTCTTTGGGTTTGTCTGGAGTAAGCAGATTGACCAGAGTAGAATAAACATTAGCTCCTACCTCTGTCAAAAAGATTGCTTTCCTTTTCTTTTCAAGGACTTTTCTCTTCTCCGCATCCCCACCGTCGTCCATTAATTCATTTGCCAGAAAGAAGAAGTCCATTCTCTCACAATATGATGTGAAATCTTCCTTGTCTGCATCATACTCCCCCACTCGTCCGATGTATCCACTGACGCCAGCCATGGTTGCTCTCTTCACTTAAATTCTCCAGGTTCAGAGTAGCCTTCCCTTAAGTGGTCACTATCCTCTCTTCAAGGACTTCACCAACACTTTGAGAATCCCATCCTCGTCGCCAGTGTAGTATCTTGGGTTATTTAATGGGAGAATGAAGAGTCACATGGTCTGTCTGGCTGGCTGTTTATTCTCTGTTCTTCGTTACAACGTGCCTAACACATTTTGTAAGAAGTAACATAATATATAATATATACATTCAATAAAGGCAGCATATAAACATACATAGGCTATATATAACAAAAGAAAAAAAAATGCAGTAAAGTACACTTACTTTGAGGTGTGTATGTAGAAGGCTCCTGGTTGATGATGATGATGGGAATTAGAAGTGGGGGTGGAGAAGGGAGAAGAGAAGGAAGTGGGGATGGAGGAGAAATCACCTTCCAGGGGACCCATGCTTGATGCAGTAATTTCACCCATAAAATTTTAAGTTCACTAGGTGTAATTCAAGATTATTTTATTTACATCAACACAACACTGCACTGCGCTATATATTATCAATATGTTAACTAAATTTCAGAATGACCAATAATTTTAATGTAAAAATGCAAAAATATTCAAGAAACCAACAAAATTGATGTTCACTCCACTGTAAACAAGGCCCAACTGACGCCTGGTGGCTGAGTCAAGAGACTGATGGGCGCACAAAAAACTAGTTCCCTGTACTGCATATATTATCCATATGTTAACTAAGTTTTAAAATGACTAATAATTTTAATATAAAAAATGCAAAAATATTAAAGAGCACAACTTTCTTGATATTTATTCCACTGGAAACAAATGTAAACATAGAACAGATTACTGAATTAGCAGACTAGCCCATCAGCTGATGCTCACAACAAAACGTGTTTTTCTTAAGGATTTCGTAAATCGAAGTTTTGTTCGTTAACCGAATTGAAGATCCTTATGGGAGGTAATTCGGTAACCAAAATTTTGTTAATCGAACCGTTCGTTAACGGATGGACCACTGTACTCACTTTGTACTGAAATGTACAGTACAGGTTGACAATTCCTTATTCGAAATCCTTGGGACCAGATGCGTTTCGGTTTTTGGAATTTTTCGGTTTTCAGATTTTTTTTTTTTTTTTTTTTTACAGGGATCAGCCCACCCGGACACAGGTCACTGACCCACATTGGGGCCTGGGGGCTAAAATATAATTACACTTGGTGTAATTCAAGATAATTTTCGTTAAATCAACACTGCACTGCATTATATATTGTCAATAAATAAAATAAACTTCAGAATGACCAATAATTGTTCTGTAAAAACGTAAAAATAGTTTATGTTCAAGAGAGAGTCAAGCAAGACGCTTCCTCCACTGAGCAGAGACACAAAGTGACGCCATTCTGGGGGAATGAAGTGGCTGTTTGGCGCGCTAAAAACTAGTTCCCTGTACTTCAATTATGTTAAATAATTGTTAAAATGACTAAAAACTTTAATATAAGACTTGGAACATTATTGAATAGTACAACCTTCTTGATATTTACTCAAATGGTAACGAATTTAAGTCCTAAAACCGATTACTGTATTGGCGAACTAATACTACAGCTGGTGAGCAAGCAAAAGCAGGCGAAAACATATTGGGAAAAATTCGTAAGGAATTCATTAACCAAAATTTTTTCGTTAACCGAAGTGAAGAATCTTTTGGAAGGTAATTCGTTAACCGAAATTTCGTTAATCGAGGCGCTCGTTAACCGAGGGATCACTGAACATTAACCAAAAATAGTGGTGACGAAGCGGGTTGTTGACGATATGGGCAAACCCCGACCTAACATACCGAAAGGTTGGGTATGTTAGGTCAGGTTCTATTAAGTTCTATGCATTATCATGTTAATTTGTGTTAAACAACTTACCTTAATATTGAGGTTGATATACATCAGCAATGGCATGGAGGAATACATGAAAGCATTCACCATCATTTATAGGAAACGTCTCTTGAAGAGGGATTCAGAGAGATAAACAACAAAATTGGCGCTGGGAGGAGAATTGTCAAGTGGGAGAGAGTAAATGAAAAATTAAAATAAATACTTAAAATCATAATAGAAAGTTGTCGTTTCCTTTAATATATTTAAAATCATCAAAACAATAAGTATAGCAAAAATAAAGAAAATCAACAAACACCTTCTGGTGGTCACCCTCTTAAGAACATAAGAATGGAGGAGACTGCAGCAGGCCATACTGGGCAGTCCCATTTACACTCAACCTCTACCACTCCTTTATCCACCCAACCTATGTTCGAAGCTATCCAGCGTATTCGAGTTAATAATGATGTGTGGTAACTTGTTCCACTCATCCACTACTCTATTTCCAAACCAATGTTTACCTATCTCGCACCTAAATCTAAATTTGTCTAATTTAAAGCCATTGTTACGAGTTCGCTCCTGGTTGGATAGTTCAAGTACCTTTGTTATATCACCTTTGTTTAGCCGAGACTTCCATTTATATACCTCTATCATATCGCTCCTCACTCTACGTCTCTCGGGGGAGTGTAAATTAAGATGCTTTAACCTGTCTCTGTACTCAAGGTTCCTAATGCCCGGGAATAGTCTCGTCATTCTCCTCTTCTATACCTCTGCCCTAAATATATCTGTTTACCTTTACCTGTCCTTTGAGAAGTAATGAAACCTCAGATCTTCATTGTTGTTTTTATTTGTGGCGCACACAACACAACGGTGACGGTCTTCCCTTCTCGCCATGTTTGTGTCACAGATGAGGTCAATCACCATGCCCGAGAATTAAAACAAACAGCCGACACAACTTTTCCCGCCATTTAATCAGTGCCATCTAGTGACGAAGCGCGCGCACTACTGTTGCTCTGAGGCGCGCTTCCTCCTATACCTTCCTTGGGGAACAGTGTACCAACATCCAACCAATAGGTGACTCTGGCACCTCACACCATCTCCACGATCATGTTAATATATTGCATAATGTAAATAAACCTCAAGTCCTCAGTCCTCACTCCTCAAGGTCAAAATTCACGACACTCGGAGATAAAGGTGGTCATATACCCAGTCGTTAAACCATAGAAGAAAACGAAGACTATTTGAAGACTGGTAATCGTATTTTAGTATCACCCCGGGCCCGGAGTGGAGGTTTCTGATGATGTTGCGTCGGGCTATAATCAACTCTTCACAAATTCTTAAGCCAAGGTATTGTTGGCCATGTAAAATAACCCATTCCAAGTATATCTCGAGGTTTAAGTGAAGATTCGTTTTAACCCCCCCCCCCCATTTTTTCAGAGTAATATATTTTTTGGGTGAATATTGTGCTTTGTTTAAATCTGACCTTCATTTTCTTTGGAAAATTTCCATTTATGATAAAATGTCAGAGACATATAGAACTAACCAAACAAAGAAACCTACCTAACCGGGTATTATTTTAGTTTCGGTCATCCAGGGAATCTTAAAGGGGCCCCCCAGACCCGGTCTGACTAATTACCCAAATGTAGCAAAATGTAGCCGCAATGAAGTCAAATAATGGTCCTACATGAATAAATCGGACTGCTAATCACTTCTCGACTAGTATTTGGTGTCACAAAGTCAAAAAATTGGAAAACTTACTTTAATCTGAGTTAATAGATCGCGTGCATGTACCGAGGGAGCGAGTAATTACCCAAATGTAGCCGCAATGAAGTCAAATAATGGTCCTACATGAATAAATCGGGCTGTGAATCACTTCTCGATTATTATTTGGTGTCATAAAGTCACAAAAAATTGGTAAACTTAATTTAGTCTGACTTGTGTTGTGTTGTGTTAGGTTAGGTTAGGTACATGCACTCGATATATCAACTCAGATTAAATTAAGTTTACCAATTTTTTGTGACTTCGTGACACCAAATACCAGTCGAGAAGTGATTGGCAGTCCGATTTATTCATGTAGGACCATTATTTGACTTCATTGCGGCTACATTTGGGTAATTAGTCGGACCCCCCCAGACCCCCTTTAAGATTGGATATACCGGTAGTTCCTGGGTTCTGTGGCTGGGATTTCAACTATTTGGAATGGTATTTTTCCCAAATGCCATAGAAGCATATAAAAGGTTTTGGTAATTTTAATATAATCATTAACAGTGTTTGTATAATAATTAACCAGCAGGTGAGTAAAATGGCCAGAATAGCTTGGGTTAGGTTAGGTTGGGCTTTTCTGTCGTTATTTTAATCACACAGTTGTGTAAAGTTTGACAGGGCAGGGTTATAACTTGGTAATTATGTATTTTCAATCTTTCAGTATCTGTATTGAGCATGAAAAACTACATTATTTTTTTCATGCCAGTGTTTGCAGAATAATTACTGAAGAAAGCAAGGTTAGGTTAGGATCATGTTGATCCAAGTTTTGTCAGTTCAAGTGTATCACCAAACTAAGATGTATGTACAGTATAATTACAAAAATTACAAACCCTCCTAGTTTTAATAATAAGTGTCCTTTCTAGGTTATTATTATTATTATTAACGTAAGAAACAATAATATATCATTGTCTATTTAAATATGATGTATATTTCTTGCTACGTGTACTGTTGTTGTCTTCTTTGTAGCTAATGGAACATTAGCATTATTATTGTTTATGATACATTGGGATGATGGCTCTTAATGCTCATAAAACAAAGATGGCAGCAACCTTTATTATTGTTTACAAGGAACAAAACCTATATAGTAAAAGTGCTCCTCCTCTACCAAATTAACTTTATTCTAACAGGTTTGTACCGTAATAAGTTTTCTTTATAGATATTTTAGGTTAGATTATGTTACTGGTTAACCCATATTCTTATCCTTAAATATTACCGTAAGAAGTTCATCTTACCTCCGATAAATCATAAACTGTCAACTTGTCAGCAATGAAAATAGTATCTGGACATAGCTGGTGGACATAGATTAAGTTGTATTTATATAAGGTGTTAAATTACATTTACAGACTGGGGGTATTAACAAGGCAGCCAAGGTGTTTACAGTCTTCAGATGATGATGATAGAACAACTGTGAAGGTGCTCAACATGGAGATTGAAGCAGGTCTAATGGTGGACTCTTATAGCCAAGTTAGTGACATATTTTGTGTTGTTCTCATCAATACAGTTGTTAGTTCACCTAAGTATTGGTGTAGTGAATCGGCTGCTTGTGCAATTAACCAGTCCGTTCACATATATTTATATTTGGGTTTTAGGTAATGAAACCCAAACAGTAGTTCCTTTGTTTTATTATAAAAGGTTGTATATAATTCCTGAGTGTAGATCAACCGTAAGTCTCACTGTCTAGGAGTGAATGAGAAGGGGACGGCGTTTATGTATTATAAACGTTAGGTCACGTCCTTACGATATAAGTTGAGGTGAGCTACTGACTGTGACGACCTCGCAGTGCGGGTTTACAGAAATGCTGAGCTCTGGGTCTCGGCCTCTTGGGAGAGTTGCCCGCTCACGTGTCCAACTCATGTCTTACTCATAGACAGTAGAAAGTTACAGGGGGTGAATCTGAATATAATCTCAGCTGTATTGACCCATTTATATATGTTCTGTTGATGAGACAGGGGCCTATTACAGTAGCTATGCATTCAAGTTTCAGGAACGAACAGCATTTCTGAAAGCATTTTTCAAAAGTAAGTCCTCAATATTTGCAAGTTCAGCATATGCAAATTCACTCACATGCGAGAACCCTCCTACCAGGAATTAAATTTATGCGAATAAGTGCGTCGTCACCGTGTCTCATGTTTTGTCGGTTACTGCAGGGTGTTGTGCTGCTTGTGCTTTGTTTCCCGCCACAATACGCTCAGTCTCGCACTAGCCCACGTTCCATGTGGACTGCAGCCACTCTATCTCTCCTAAGGATTCTTTTGTGATTTGGTGTTTTTTGCACCCATTATCCATATTTCTCCAGTAATATGGCTTCCAAGCATCCTGCATTGTCTTTTCCTAGCCCCTGTCCATCCATGAAGAGGAAGAGAATAACACTGCAATTAAAGTTAAAAATTTTGAATCGTTGTGCGCTTGTCCGTTACTACAACCTGGGTGAATTCACGATCCAAAAAATTAAGAAGAATGCAAACAAGATACGAGGTGCAGGTGCTGATAAGCATGCAACACCTCTTTCTGCCAAAATAACAACAAAAGTGAGAAATCTAGAGATTGAGAAGATAGAGCATGAAAATAAGAAGAAAAGCAGGCTTAGCAACACTGTGATTAGGGCTAAGGCTCTGAAAATTTATGAACAATTGTGCCAAGAAAAGGGTTCTGCTGACCCAGAACCCTTTATTGCTAGTAAGGGCTGGTTTGTTAGGTTTATTAAGTGCCATAACCTGCTCAATCTCAAAGTGACTGGGGAAACAGCAAGTGCAAATCATGTTGCTGCAGCTAAGTTTCCCAAGGAGATTTAAGCTCTCATAGCAGAAAGGGGGTATAGCTCTAATCAGGTTTTCAATGCTGATGAAACGGTTATTTTGGAAGCAGATGCCATTGGGGACACATATCAGTAAAGAGAAGGTTGCACCAAGCTTCAGGGCAGCTAAAAACAGGCTTACTCTCCTTCTATGTGGTAATGCAGCAGGTGACTGTAAGCTTAAGCCTCTGCGAGTCTACCTATCCCTCAATCCTCGTGCATTAAAAGGATTGAGTAAGAACATGTTGCCTGTTCATTGGGCAGCCAGTAAGAAGGCATGGCTAACTGCTCAGGTATTTGAGGACTGGTTTACCAAACATTTTGCTGTGGAGGTTGAGGGGTACTGCAGCTAATCTTACATTCAACGTATTGCTAATTCTGGATAATGCCCCTGGACACCCAAAGCACCTCGATAACATTCACCCCAATATCAGTGTTGTGTAGCTACCCTCTAATACAACCTCACTGATTCAGCCACTTGATCAGGGGGGTTATTGCCACATTTAAGGCATATTACCTCAGGAGGACCTTCTCCCAGCTTCTGGAAGCAACAGACGACTTCCAAAATTCTGGCAGTAAATCAACTATTTGTGAGTGGTGGAAATCTTATAATGTGAGGGATTCTATTAGCAACATTGCGGCAGCAAGGGACGATGCGAAATCATCTACCATGAACTTTATTTGGAAATTCCTGTGGAAAGACTGTGATTTTAAGGGGTTTCCTAAGTTTTCAACAACAGTGCATCAGGTTGTTGAAATAGGACGAAAGGTGTGTGGAGATGGCTTTGTTGGCCTTGATGATGCAGATCTTATGGGACTGATTGAGTCTCAAGATGAAGAACTGAGTGTGGATGACCTGTTAGACATGACTGATCAAGAAATGGAAGAGGAGGTAGAGGAGGTTGCCCTAGAAATTAAAGACATGTCAACGAAGAGGATGGCAATCTTTTTCTTTCAAATGCTGAAAAACTTGCACAGGAAGCAATAGACATGAACATCAGTTCGGACAGAAGCCTGCAGTTTAAACGTGGATTAGATGTTATACTTGCAGCCTACAAGGAGGTTTATGCAGAAAAGCAACAAAAAGCAAAACAGACCACAATGCTGCAATTCCTAAGGCCTTCCACCTCCACTCCCATTCCACCTGCCTCTCCTAAACCTTCCACTTCCACCTATGACCCTGCTGCCTATCCAGGATCCTCAAACTCTAGCACAGTCCTCTTGATGTCACACTCCCTGATATGGAATCCAATCCTGATAGACTGCAGATGTCACTCCAACACCATCACCCACTATGTAAAACCTCTACCACCACCTCCATCATCTCGTCTAACCAAGCTGATGTATCTGCTTTTAAGTACACTTTACTGTACCCTTGCTTTATTTATTATTTTATAAATAAATGTTGTATGGATTTCTTTTATAGTTTAAATGTCGTGAAATTGTGTTGAAAATGGATATGGAACATTTCATTTTGGTTTATGGAACACATCCGAATTGTTCGGTTTATGCGAGGGGTTTCGGAAACGCATCCCTCACATATATCGAGGATGTACTGGGTGTTTGTAAGGTTACTGCAGTGCATTAGTGTCTAATAGAACAAGTCTCCTGGGTACTGTACCATACCATTACCTTCCTCTTTTTTATTATTAGCTACTTGATTGTGCATTTGACTGTCTCTTGCTTTCCTCATTAGTAGGATCTGTGGCAGTGATGTTTGTTTTAACACTTGAAATTATAGAAATAGTTACTGGGTAACACATATAAATGTGTAGTGATGATATTACTTATAGTGTTCCAGAGTTTAAGGAAAACTTAAGTGTGCTGCAAAAATCCAAGCATGTTAGTGCTAACATGCTGTTGTTCTTTAGGGAAAACCTTGATATCCAAGTTTGGATGTGGCTTTAAATGTTCACTGAGAGACACTTGATGTATACAGTACACAAGGGATCCTTTTACTTTGAATATGAGATGGGTCATACACTGTACAAAATAGGTGATGCACCACTTTAAATGTAGGACAGTTTAGATTATTCAGTGATATAGATGATGCTCTATTTTGAATATGCTTTGTGTTAAACACTGTGCAGGATAGATGAAGCACCACTTTTTATATAGAATGGATCATAATCCAGACAAAAATATTTTGTGATCATTTACTTGAATGTATAGTACAAGACATATACGCTGCACTGCTGTAATGACACCTTCACAATTTCAGGTCGGTTTCCGTCTCAACAATGGAATGTCTGTGATTGGCCCAATTGCACTCTTCCCTAAAACTGTGTTAAGCTGGCGTGTTAGATCTTCCCAAGATATCAATGAAGATTCCCTTTCTCTTTTTTATTTACTGGAACCAAGATTAGGTATGTTTATTTTTTTATACCCATTGTTTTTGTTGTCTTAAAGCTGTACTGTACAATATAGTACATACAACTGTGTCACCTATCATTAGAAATAACCTCTGTTTGAGAGGATAGTCTGACTTCTGCCAGCTGATGGAGTGGCCATGCTCAACTACACTGTTTTGTCTTTGTCCATCACACAATCATGTCTAGTTTGTGTCAATATTTTTCAGAGTATTTTCCATAAATTTGACAAAGTTTTTTGCTTATACAGTAGATTGAAGATTGTGAATGTGATTTTATTTTGCACTTACCCAGTACAGTACAGTACAGTACATTACAAAATTATTTTGAGGAAATACCCTGTTTTGAACTTTGTCATAGCAGGAGCATCCATGTCATATTTACATAATTCTAGGAGGAACCTAATTATATCAGTACTCTACAGGATGTCCCATGAGTCTAGACTTATAGTCAAATAGTACTGTATAGTGATATCCTTGTTAGCCGTAATGATTGGTGCAGAGCCCTTTCAGAAATGAGAGATTTCCAATTTCTGTGTACAGTTGGGTAGGGATATATCACGAGATAAGGTCCAAGGATGTTCACCATATACTAGATCGCAATAGTATATAATTACATGTAATCAATGGGGAAAATAGGGTTAGGTTCTGGAGGCCAATAAAAGTGACTAAACTTGACGGAACGAGTTTATTTTCGTACTAACTAAAGCACCAATGAACACTAGACTCGGGAACACCACCCTAGGCGCCATTGTGGGTTGATTACCTGTGCTCGAGTGGGCTATTCCCTCTAAGAAAAAAAAAGGAACACCAGACTCGGCAGCAGACACCACACTGCTGCCCTCACTTGACAATCCCACACCTGCATAAACGAACAAACCAAAAATATTAGTTACATAATTAAATCTTTTCCCTTAAGCTTTCCATACGCTTCACTTCACTTTTCACATCACTAGCAACCTATTTACATTCACCTTAGAAGTCGGAATCTGCAGCAGTCGGCTGCTGACTCATTACTCGCGCCGCTCGACTCACAGCCAGCCTCCTTCTGCTTTTATTAAATATGTCTTCTTCGGCATCTTTTTCCAGTTTATTCCTGTCTCATCACAATTCCAGATTTGGTCTGGAGTATAGCCACCTTCCTCAACCATTTTTTTCCAATCTATCTTCGCTTTTTCCACTGCAGCTGTGTTGGCCAATGCAGCTTCCCCTGACCGAGACACACAGCATAATTCAGTTCTCTTGATGAAGCTGTGAAGCCAGCCTCGGCTAGCTGTGAATTTACATTCACTTGCTGGCTTTCCTTCTCACTAAAGCAGGTGTGTCTGTATTTCCATTGCCTTAGTCTTTATCACTGGTCCTGATATAGCAACTTTATGGTGTTGCATGTTTTCAAGAGCTGAATCAGAAAAACTGTGCGGGTGAGCGTGAACGCGTGAGTGAGCAGCCACGATGGCGCTTCTGGTGAGCAAATAACGCATTTGTTTGCCATGGAGGTACATTTGAAATATTTCCTGCCTGATTTCCCTCACGAAATAAATAGATTTATCACTTTATTGGAAAATGTCGATAATTTTGGTAGTCGCAGTATAAAAAAATTTTCATTAAAAATCGCTACATATCCCGACCCTACTGTATTGAGACAAATTTCTCATCCCGGAATTTTTCCGGGTACAGTATGTACCTGGGTAAGTTTTCCGAGAGTCTAAACTACACATCTCGCACAGACAGACAGACACTACTGTACATCCCTGGAATGTTTCTGTGTGCTGGGGAAAGTTTCCCAAATTCTAAACTGTATTTATTTTTGCAAACACTACTGTACATGTACAATATATTGTAAATAAACAAAATATACTACTACTGTACTGTATATACTGTTCAGTACTTACCAGCAGATGCAGTTGTCTTGAGCTTGTAATGCAGGCAGGCCAAATGGTGATAAAGTATGGCTTGCCTTTGTCCTGTACCATCTACCGTAGCAGGTGTTGCCGTCACTCTCCTCTCCCTCCATGAAGGAGGGATTGTCCACACACTGTATACTGTACATAATACACATAATAATAAATAATGGTTCCCCCTCGTGTAACAAGGATGGCCGGCCCAAGGGCCACCTAGGCGTGAATTTGTTCAAGGTGTAGAAGCTGTCGCCAAAACCACACCCTGAGTTAACGAGTTGCATGACCCCAGTGTCAAGGAATAGTCTGAGAAGACCGGACAACTCGCCAACTGCACTGGTTAACCATTACCCTGCAACACGATCTGCAAATCGATTAACATCCAGGTCCCCAATTACTGCTGGGTAGACAGAGGCAAATATGCATGAAGAAACTTGCCCATAGTTTCACCCTGCCAGGGGATCGAACCCAGGTTCGCTCTCTGCGAGGCGAACATGCTGACCATTACACCACAGGTCTACACACTATCCTACAGTAGGCATATACTGTCAACTCTGGCATGTACAGTACTGTATAAGCTTGTTTGCCATTGGTTGTTATTCTACCTGCAAGAAGAAAAAAGTTAGATATATTTTCCTATGTGACTACACTCATGGGGCAGCCTTTATATCTCTCCAAAATAACTTTTCTCTGTAAAGTTTGATAACCCAAGTTTGCTTTCAGATTTCTTTGACACCCTTTTGTGTATTGTACATTATATATCTCGTTTATCTGTCGCTTCACATATCGACCTCACATGACACCAGCAGCACATGAACCACTTGCCAGTCAGGCATGCACACAGTTGTTTTCTTCATGCTGAATATATATTTATCTTCTTTTTTTTTCTAGATATTCTTGTCATTGGTGTTGGTGATCAAGGATGCCGCGTGGACACTCGAATTATCCGGTTCATGAAAAATAAGGGCGTCAGTCTTGAGGTAATAATAGTTACTATACTGCACATGGGACTTTAACAGTTCAGCTAATAGGTACGAGATGACACTTCACATATACTTAACGTGCTGGAGGTGGAGGGTTGGGACAGGCCGTTGTCGTGTTAACCAGTTTGTTTTTATTTATTCATTATAGTCTAGTATGACCAGCCTCTTACGGTATATATAATTTGTAATTTGACTTAAAAATAAAAGGACAAACTGAATCAAAAGGTAATCTCTTCCCTGACAGTGGTGACAATACAATTTGTTGCTGCATTCACATTTTGTTGTTTTTATATTCTCGTATAATCAGTCTCTTATGGTGTATATTTCATTATTAATATTATAAAATATTAAATAATAGAAAAAACACAATATATAATCTGTAATTTGACTTCAAAATAATGGAAAGAGACGGACTGAGCCAGGTGTGTGGCAAGGATGATGCAATACATACTCGTCTTCTGCTGCTCTATTCCCGGGAGGATTACCGTCACCATTGTTTGAATTATTTTACCTAAAATATTATCGTTTTTCTTTGCCTGAATGTGTGCTAAACTTATAGCTAACCAATCACAGTGTTAGCATTCATTATGACTGAGTCCATTCTGAGTGGGGTAATAAACTTCTTACTCACAGGTCTGAGAGGAGGAAAGAGGATAAGGGATTGCTCACTGGCAGGAATTTCAAACAAATATTTGATGGTTTGGATAAATGTTTCTTGACTGGAAAGAGTCTGGACTCCAAAATTTGGGCTTACGGTGTGCAGACGAGTGGAACAAGCTTAGCAACCTTGTAGTAAGTGCTGGAACGCTGAAAAGTTTCAAAGGGAAGCTGGATAGATTCATGGATGATAGAGTGGGGTAGTCACTCTCGACAGGAGCTGCCATGCACAGGCCAACCAGCCTATTGCAGACTCCTTATTTTCTTATTGTTTTGATAACCGTGCAACCTATTGTGAATCAATTTACCTTAGGTATTGAAACATATCCTTTTTGTCTTTCAGATTTTACCAACTGTGTCTGCTTGTACCACATTTAACTTTTTAAACCAAGAGAGACGGTACGTGGCAGCTGCGCTCATACCTCCAGTTGCTATAAGTGTGAATGAAGATGATTTGGTACAAGCAGAGAGAAGAAGAAAGAAACTTTACCAGAGTACAGAAGATGATGAGGTGTTTTAGTTAGATTTAGAAACATTTATTATTTTTTAGTTGCTGCTCTATAGTACTGTAGGAGACACCAAACATTATATGAATAATCTTCATTACCTCTGTTAATTGTTAAGGGACTGCTATGACTATTTTTTTTTTGAACTTTGAAGTATAAATAATAGAACTAAACTTGTTTTGGAAAATTTCTGAATAAAAGATTGAGTAGAGTTTGCTGGCATGAGGATAACAGTACACTTGACAACACAACTGTACTCCCTCTGTGTATGAAAAAAAAAACACACCAGTGTATTGTCTGTCTTGTTCTTCTTTTAACATTTTCAAGGGAGAGGAAGTCTTAGCGATACTGTACTTGTAAAGATCAACAGTGGTGAATTTTGCTGTTTTCTTATTAAGGTCACTCTCTACCACTAACCCTTTACCCCTGAAAGCCTGAAGCATTTGTATTGAGGTTCAGGAGATAAACAACATTTCAATTAAGTGACAAATAGTTGTTAACCTGAACCACCTTCAGTATTACTTTACAAATTACCGTGTCAGAACTTTATAGTTTAACTGTACAATAGATAATATGAAATGGGCTCAGTATGGTGATTTGTTGTTTACAAATAATACTGAATACTGTACAGTACTGATGTAATGTTTAAAGGGAAATGCCACTTAATAGCTGTCCCACAAAACAACAAGTCTTGACTAGAGCCCAGTTATTATTTAGTGTTATTTATTCAAGCTGTCTATAATTCATACACTCAAAAATTATAACAATATTCAACTCCTAATTCACAGTTCAAACAGTGCAAAAAAAAAAAAAAAATACGAGACTCGGATTTCTGAGCTTCTGTTAATACAAATACTGTAACTTCTATTTGAGTTCTCATACAATAAACTGTTGGAATTAACTAAAAATTATGTATCATATGTAAATAAATTGTAAAATACAGACATATTACAATATTTCATTACCTACAATAAACAGACCACAATTGTCAATTAGTGTCCAATGTGTGGGGTCAGGAAGGGGAAAACTCGACCAAAACTCGTATATTACAGCCGCAACAACGAATGAAAGGAGGGTCTGTATACTGTACTGTGTATGATAGGTGTTTCTTCTTGACTCCAGCCTTCAAACTTTATACTTTACCTGGAAAATACTGTGTACAATGCATGTAGCTGATTAAGTGAAATTTTAAAATATTTTTTTCAGTTAACTGTACAGCTCCTCCCCGACTTACGACTGGGTTAGGGACCCAAATCCAGGTCATAAGTCGAGATGGTCGTAAGTCGAAAATGCTTAAATAATACATAGAAATCTAAAATGGGTGTATCTTTTTCTTCTCAGCACCACAAAACTCTCACTTCTAAGCTTTCCAGCCATTTTAAAGTGAATTACAAACAAAAATTTTGTCAGTACACAGCGCAATCACTGATGGGACTCGAAAATACGTAATTTGACAAAATTTTGGTACGACTGAGGCAAGTCGTAAGTGCTGGTGGTCGTAAGTCGAGTAGGTCGTAAGTCAGGGAGGTGCTGTAGTAATTTTTATAGCAGCTGCTTCACTTAGTCAGTGGACCTTGAGATATCTGGCAATAAATACTAGTTACACCAAGAGATCTTTTGTGGAAGTTGACGACTTTTCTATGTCATATGTGGGGTAGTAGACAGTGGATTTCCAGGTCATAGTTAATAAGAGTTTAAGGAAAGGTGATGGTCACAATATAGTATAGCAAGATGTGCTCTCATGACCAAATGTATCTCTGTCTCCTAGAGTCTACAGTGGACCCTAAACCAAGGTGGCTGGGGTTAATCCAATGATTAGCCATCCCTCCCTGATATCTAGAACCCTTAAATTGTGGTTTGGGAAACTATAGTATCTGCTGATGGCTGAGGAGTAAAATTGTGAAGCTGCACAATGTGCCTTTCATTTCACAGACCTACAGTAGTAACCACAGAACAAGATTACAGATCTGCATCACATTGCCAATTCTAGTCGACATTTTCTTGACCAACTTAGAGTCTGGCCTGAAGGTACCAAAAAGATTATCTGGTACTGTGTGAGCAACAGCAACTTTACAGGACGTTATTTTATAAATTATTGTTTGTGGTTTACTGTGTCACCTAAGATTATTTCCCTTACAGACATAGAGCAAACAAGTGGACTCATATTTTTGTTAGCTTGGATTTCTAATTTGTCTTTAACCCTTTCACCGCATGTCATGCACTTGTCATTTTATTCTGGTTACCGCCAGATGATTTTATTCAGCTTAGGGTAACCTCCCACTGTGAAAGGGTTAAATATAATAAAAAGATGGAGGATTGATCCCAATTTTGGCAGAGCCCAGAACTTTGTGACTCGCATAATAATCTTGCTAAATCTACAGGTGGAAGATTCAGGAGACCATTTGAAATTAGTGACAGGTGTAAAATATTAATTATTTATACCCTCCCATCACAGGAGTGAGTGAAATTCACCTTTAAGGTAGAAGGCAATGAATGAGTCATTACGTCACACTAGCATGTGCACACCTCCTGTGTCGGGAAAAACCTGATAAAGCAGGCGAGTCCAGCCAGAAGAATATTTGAAAAACACTACAGTAGCTGTATTTATTTATATTTCTGGACACTAAGCATGGTGATCAAAGACTGTCTGTATAATGCATTACAATAAAATTTAATGACTTGTGATGCAAAAATACAATGAGCATGAAGATTATTAAAATTAATTTACTAATAAGTTTCATTAAAAAATACTGTACTGTACCCCAAAACAACCAAATCACACAAAAATAATCCAGCAGTTGCATCACAATATTGTCTACCTTCACCTAATCGTATATGTACAGAACTATCTTTATTTTAATAAAATATCTCCTTCAGTTATTGTTCATCTTCCTCCACTCTTGATGCATCAGTGAAGAGTACACACACAAGCATGCAAACACACACACTAAATCTACAAAATATGGGATATAGAGTACTATATACAGTACTGTATTTAAGTACTAACATAGCCTATTAAATGTCTTTGGGTAAACCTCTTATGTCGTATAACTTTAAAACACAGAAAATGACATGTGTTACAAATAGAGATGAATATAATATATTCTATGTTTAAAAACTAAAGTCTGGGTAACTTTCTGTACTAAGTGACTGAGTGAGTAGCTATTTCAGTGACTACTGTACAGTAAACAGTGAGAAACAGAGCCAAACACTTGTGAGGTTGTGGCTTCGTCTTTAGGATCAAAGACTAAGATCATCTTTGTCAGAGAAAATGAAATGGTTAATAGCCAGACTAGTGTAATGAAACAACAAGAATATTCACCAGTCAGCAAGAGAATTATCTACATGTGCGAATAACTAAAATATATGATTTTCATCTCATAATTCTATATTATATATACTTAGTATTAGATACAGAAAAAGAATCCCGTCTGCACTGTTCACGGTATTTCTACACCTAACAAAATATGATCACACAGAATTTTCTTAGATACAGTAATGTAATGTTGTTATAGAGCAGCTCAGCCTCAAAAGTTACACCAACCCCTGATACACTTCATAGTTCTACAGATTAGTTTGGGATATAATTAAAGTTACAGAGTTACAAAATTTATCTAATTCCATTCATTTCATCTTATCTCATAACCATAAAAACTAAACAAACATGAGCCACTCTGAAAACTGAGCAGTACAGTGTATGGCAGATATCTTTTAATGTTTATCAATTAATTCATACTGTACTTACGGTAAGTAATGTACTGTACAGTATACTACTAGACTGTGATGATGCCACAACTACAGTAGTGGTAAATACCCAAGTTCCTGTCAATTCAAATTAAAAGTGAATACGTAAAAAAAAAATATTACATTACTAAACCTTTCTAAGTCAATGAAGTCAAAACCCAATACACTACAGTACAGTACTACAGTAGTTACTTCTAAGAATAAACTACAGTGCAATACTAGTTGTTATTTATCACCAAAGAAATCTCCATATACATTCCTCACCAGTATACAGTACAATATACACATTTATTTACAGTTAACAGGTCATTATGCTTGCTGTCTCTGGCAAGAAATTATCCAGACATTTCTAGATATATGATTTATAATCTCATGTGTGGTAAATAAGGGAAGACCAAAGGTTAGGAAGAAGGACAAAGTTAAGTAAAAATATCAAACGTGTCTATTTAATAATATATCATTTGTTTAAAATATTTATTCTCTGGAGTTGTAGCTACCTGGTCTGTCTACCTTAAACAAAGTGAATATTGACTTGCACTGGGTGGGGGAGGGAATGTGTGGCATCATCTGGCAAGAGGGGAAGGTTTATACGGAGGTGTGTACCTGGGTGAATAACTAAATGGTTGACCTCTTGTGACTCCCGCTGCATTTTCTTCCGTTTTTTTTTCACCTGAGAAATTTTGCATAAATGACAACGGTCTTCTTGACTTGTTGACTTTATCTTTGGTTGTCTCTGGCGAGTCAAAAACCGATCGAGGTCTCTTGAACTTTCCATCCATTTCCTGTTCGTTGTTTCTATCTGCCGCCTTGTGTTTTTTACCGGGTGACAGCCAAGACTTTGGAGGGGTGAGACACTCCTGCACCTGAAGCAGCTGTGCCATAAGAGAAGTGGGAGACCTCTCTGTCTTTTTGAAGGCCGCCTTTCCTTTAACTATCTTTGGGGATTCTGGCACCGGCAACCTTGATGCTTCTACGACACCTCCTGAATTCTCATCTTGAGGTTTTGTAACCTAGATTGGAGATATTTGATCAGAATATCAAAACACAATTGTTAAATCTCTACTGTCTAAGATTACTATATCACTCATGAATAAAAGAAGGGGAACAAGAGGCACTATAAGACAAGAGTACCACAAAAGAAACCTACAGAGACATGATCTGTAACCTGCTGACTCTAGAATCCATAAGCTCCTATACAGTACACTAGTACATCCACAAGGACAATTCTAGTAATGGTATGATAACTAATACAAAATCTGCTGTGCTGAACTTGTTAAAAGTAAAATTATGTCATACCATTACATGTTTTACAAAATATATACAGTGGTCCCTCAGTTAACGAACGGTTTGAATAACGAAATTTCGGTCAACAAATTAACTCCCATAAGGATTTTCAGTTCGACTAACGAACAAAACTTCGATTAAAGGAAATCTTTACGACAAACACGTTTTGTTGTGTGCATCAGCTGATCAGCTTGTCTGCCAATACAGTAATTGGTTCGATGTTTACATTCGTTTCCAGTGAAGTAAATATCAAGAAAATTGGTCTCTTGAATATTTTTGCCTTTTTTATATTAAAATTATTGGTCAATCTGTAATTTAGTTTACATATTGATAATATAGACAGTACAGGGAACAGTTTTTGTGTGCCCATCAGCTGATTGAATCACCCAACAACCCTTCTCAGTTTACCTTTGTTTACAGTGGAGTGAACATCGATTTTTGCATTTTTACATGAAAATTATTGGTCAGTCTGTATTTAGTTAACATATTGATAATATACAGTGCAGAAATTATTATGAAACATGAAGGCATTAGAATCAATGCACTCTGTAAAGAATATGGTGTCATCATCAACCTCTACAATCAGATGTTTGATATGTAAACAAAGCTGCCGGTAATATGACATACACACCTCAAAGTAAGTTAAAATACGGTATTCTATTGGGTTTTTTTATTATTGTACAGTATACTGTACAGTACAGTACTGTACTTAGTTTATATTTAATGTTTTGTTAATTCTATTACTGGTATACAGTACTTTGTATGTACTTTTTCTGTGAGTTGGAACCAATTACCCAATATCCCATTGAAATAATAGATTCAGTTAACGAACGACTCTGTGGAACGAATTGTGTTCGTTAACCGAGGGACCACTGTATATAATAAAAAAAAACAATATATAAAACTCAAAATATTGATTTGTAGTATAAATCTGATAAATCAACTGTTTTATACCACAAACAATTGTATCTTGACTATTTCACAAGGGCTACCGGTATTTATTTTTTGTATCGGGGCACAGGTGGATGCATTGTGAGTAACAGCAGAGGACTAAGCAACAATAAGAGAGAACCAAGCCATAGAGAGAGAGTATGAGTTAAAGAGACTTTACTGTAATGTTAATTAAGGTGAACACTTGATTTATGGAAAGTAATTGCAGTACCAATGTCAATCTTGTAATTAAGACAAAACTATTTCCATCATAAAATAATGTTTGTTTGTTAATGTATTCTATTACTTTTACCTTAGAAAAATAATGTGAGATATTGTATGTATGGCACAAATAATTACTATCCATCAGTACCGCAACTTACTACAGCAGTGTCATCATACTGTACTGTACCATACATTATTACACTGTACAGTACATGTATTCCCATGCCTAGACATATTTTTTGAGAGGAATTACAGCATCATAAAATGACAACTGAAAGGTATGTTCCTACAATTATCACACAGGGTATTTAGAAATGTCAAATGAGTTACCTTAAGAGCAATTAGATGGTCTGGGTCTCCCTTAATAGTTAACTTGCGTAGGGCCGGCCTCCGCAGTGGCTTCCTGGAGCTGGAGTCCTTGCGAAGAGTTTTTCTTTTATTAACTGCTTGTGTTACAGCTTCTGTCAGCATAGAAACCCACTCACCTCCCGCTGTCTTGTCACGACTGTACAACAACATGTCTTCTGATTCACATTTGACCTGCCAAAGGAAGGAAGGAAGGTTGTTATGGTGCTGATTAAAAAACAAATATGAACCAAAAAAGATGTCAGAAGTGAGAAGAATAACACAAGTAGTTGAGTGGAAAGAGAGAATCTTAGTGATGTGAAATAAGTAATGAATAAAACACTTAATAATGCTCACACACTTATTTTGTCCCTATAAAAAACATTTATAAAGAGTCAATGAGCAAAAGTTGTGATGTAATGACTTGATGCAGTATGTATTATACAGACCAAATAAATCCGCATGTACAATACAGTGACCCCTCGTTTAATGAACACCTCGGTTAACGTAATTTCGATTAACGAACTGCCTTCCATAAGGATCTTCAATTCGGTTAACGAAAAATTCCAAAACACTTGGCGATTCTTCTGAGCAGGACCTCCAACATGTTTAAACACGTAGGAACCAGCTTTGGTATCAGTCATAATGCATTAGTAATCGGTTCTGGGGTTTAAATTCCTTATATTTTAGTAAATGTCAAAGTTTATACTATTCAGCCAATTTTAAAGTTTAATATTTGTTCAATTTTTAGTCGATTTTAACAATTTATTCAACAAAATTGAGTAAAGTGACTAGTTGTCTACGGCGGCATCCAACCTGCTTGGCAAACAGGCGTCAGTCTCACCTCCTGTGTGTTTCACTGGGCGCTTATCTTACTTATGAGACTCTCTTCCAGCTAAATACTTTTCTGTGTTTCCAAAGCAAATTAATAGTCATTTGAAAAGTATTTTACGTGACAATATATAGTGCACGGGTGCAGTATTATTTTAAAAGAAATATTCTTTATTTGCAACTAGTTTAACTTTGAAAAATGCGTGTTTGCCCGTGTTGAATCCGGCATGGGGCCCTAAGAAATCAGAAAAAGCCGTTCAATCAATTAAAAGCGAAATAATAAAAAAAGCAGACAAGAATATTAAAATAAATCACGCTGCAAAGATAGCATACGGCATCAACTTTATGTCGACAATTCTTGCCTAAAAACAATTGAGAGTGACATTGAGAGACAAATCTGGAGTGTTTAAGTAGATCCTAATCGTAGAAACTAAGGAGGTTACTTATCATCTGGATTAGGGAAAAACAGATGAAAAGGTGATTCAGTTCTAGTGATTTCATTTGTACAGAAAGAGCCAGAAATTATATGAACATTTAAAGGGGCACAAGATCAACACAGTTCTATTCCAAGACAGAATTTGAAGATTTTTCAGACTGTGAAAGGCTGGTTCGAAAATTTAAGAAAAGTGACATTTTCCAGTCATTAGGCATGGTAGGCCTGCTAATTTTTGATAAGAAGGGGCAACAAAGTTTTTAGTTAGTTTAAAAACTGATGGAAGAAAATTATCTTCCACAGCAAGAAGTGTTCAATAATAAGGACAGTGAGCATTTCTGGAAAAAAAGATGCCCAAAGACGGTATCACCAAAGATGAAACCTCAACACTGGGCGCAAAACCCGCGGCAAATCTCCATCTATAGCTGGTGCCAGTAGCTTCAAGTTCCATTCCAGAAGCCTATGCTTTAATCTCTGCTCTGAAAACCCCAGGGTGCCAAGCAACCAGAAAGTGGTAAAACAAAGCTTGGAGTTGTGGAGTCCCAGCTGCCAGGCATGGGTGACAAGACAGGTGCTTAATAAGGTGGAGGCTGTTGATGTGTTTTGCCCCTCTGCCAAAGCTACTAACCACCAATAAACTTCCCAACACAGGGGCTCTTCTCCTCATGGATGGCTCCTGGTCATGACCCTGACCTTGCTGCCCAGAAATTTGGAGTATCAATTTGACTTTGTGAAATTGTTGTTTTTGCCTCCAAACACTTTACATCACTCATACATGGACCCAGAATAGCAATCAACAACTTCAAGTTGTACATGAAGAAAAATGTTTGGGAAGTGTCATCAGGCAACTTCACAGTCTGAACTAACGCAAACAGTTCTGGAGCCACAATTCAACGTCCTGGAGCGCATAAAATTGATTGTGTCATCATGGCAAAGTCTCCAATAGAACCCTCCATTCTTCATAGAAGCCTGTGGCCATCAATAGTCCTGTGATTTTGAGAGTTGAGGAGTGATACAGAGTTGGATGAGGAGATTGTGTCCATTAGTCAGTCATTGGGCCTTGGAAGTGGAGGGAGAAGGATGTGGAAGAGCTTGTGATGTCTCTCATGAGGAGAACTCCTGATGACTTGAAGGAACTGGATGAGATATTCTGGTGGGGCTGACAGTGGTGAGGGAGGAAATTGAAAGTGATGACCATATGTCCGACTAAACAGTTGAAAGATGTGATTTACCACTGGGAGAAGTTCAGGGAACTGGCTTCAAAGCACCCAGAAGTGGAAAAAACTGAACTAACTTTGTGTCATGTTGAGGACTCAGTGGTCTCCTTCTTTAAACATAAGTTAATGGTGAGGAGGACAGGTGCCCCACAGACCACAATTGACACTTTCTTCAGTAAAAGGCAGAGGGAACAAGATGCTATCCCTCAGCCTTCCACTTCAAGAAGGAGAGAGGATGTTCATGGTGGAGAATCTGTCAGTCCATAGGTTCCTGACATTTTCATGGAAGGTGACTCACCTTCCAAGAAGCAGTAAAATGCTTCTCCTCCACCTCCACTTCCTTCTCTTCTCCCTTCTCCTCCTGCACCTCCCACTTCAAATGCACATCATCATCATCATCCAGGAGCCTTCTACATACACACCTCAAAGTAAGTAAATTTTTCTGCCATTTTTGTTGAATTTAGGAAATTTTTGGTGAGCTGGAACCAATTACCCAAAAACCCATTGAAACAATGGTTTCGGTTAACGAACGACCTTCTGGAACGGATTGAGTTCGTTAATGGAGGGAACACTGTACTAAGACATTTTCCACACAATACATGAAGGCCGACCACACACTTAGTAATAGTATTATTGAAACCTACATCTCACATTACCTACTGTGTTATATACACATTCCTTCATTCTAGCCTCCCACATTTTGTTTCTTTTATTAATTTCTATTGTACGTACACTATTATAAGTGCCATTCTTACCCTAAAAAGGCCCTGCTGACCACTGCCCAAAACAGAAATAATGGAACAGTGTCGGAGAGGCAGCAGGCAACAACACTCCAACGAACGGGGCTTGTAGTCCACGTCCAAAACGTCACCAGAACTGTAATACAAAAGTACCATTACTTACCCCATTTATAACACACACATAGTCAAAACAATGCCAATCTCCTAAAAATGTAGTCAGCAGCAGATTCTGTTACATAGTTCAGAATAATATCTATCATCCCAACACAAGTGCAAAAAATGCTAAGATCTAAGGAGTTGAGTGCAACAAACAGGGCATGTAATATGGCTGTTCTGATTATGGAGTAGCATGTAATTCACCCAAGCTTGTCTCATCACCTAATTACAGATATCAACAACTAAAAATTCAATATTCCATTTCTGTAATGTAAGTAAAATGACCACTAAAACAACCCACATTAACTGAGGCTGTGTGAGGAACAAGCTAATATTATGTATGAAACAATGAGAACAATATAATTAAGATAAAAGCAAGACCTTAGACTAGTTTTACCCTTAAATTTTCCCTCTGAGTGATATTGCCATATAGTGAACAGTAAATATCTGGAACCTCCTAATTAAAAACATTTTTGTTGGATGGTGTAACTCTCTTATATCATAGGTTCACTGATTAATGTAGCACTAACACATGCAGCTTAGCTATGCCAAACAGGATTTCAGTAAGTTTATTCTCATAAAGTGACCAAAACTAAACAATCTATCCCCTCCAAATAATGAACCCCTATACAAGTATTCCCAAGCTTAATGATAAAGTACACTGCACTTAGTAAGTGGATGAAGAAGAGTAAAAATAGCTTGCAGAAATAAAAAGAAAATAAATTGATAAAGTACTGTACTGATATAATGTTGTATACAAAAGTGAAATAAAAACATAAAGGTAGGGATGATATACTGTACCTGGTGGAGGATATACTGGCAAGACTTGCTGTAGGTAGCGTGGTGTACAACAGTATGTCTGTGAAAAGGAAAAACAGTCGCGGCTGCGAGTTGTTACCATTGCGAGACACCTGGAGAATAAGAGATAATAAAATTTTATTACCCAAGTTATAAAGGACTTACTAAGTGACGCCTTTTTTTTCCATCGCTCTTCAAAGATCTTTCCAAATTTGGAAGAGGGAGACTGGAATCAACAACAACACAGATTATTTCTCTTTCCTTGCGATTCATTATTTCCAATAGTTGACAATCCCTTATCCGAAATCCTTGGGGCCAGATGTGTTTCAGATTTCGTAATTTTTTGGATTTCAGAATGGTTAGCTTTTTCTTTTTTTATATACAGTATATATACAGGGATCAACCCAACCGGGCACAGGTCACTAACCCACATGGCCTGGGGGGAAAAATGTACTAATAAAAATAATAGTACTGTAATAATAATAATTCATAGATATTGGTCGTGTTTCTCACTTTTGATCTTTATTTCATTCTTGTATTTCTTTATTATTATTATTATTATTTTATTAATACAGTAAAAGTCCAAAAATCCGGACCACCCGAGAATCCGAACTTTTGGAAAACTAATTATTATTATTTTTTTTTAGTGGGCTTTTGTGTGTATGTGTGCATGCGTGAGCGCCACAGCTGCACAGCGACAACAAGCGACCACGTGGTCTCCACTTTAAAACGAGCAATCAAACTGTGACAACATACCATATATACTCATCTATAAACCCCCCCTCGTTTATCTGTCGACCCTGATTTTTTGACCAAGAAATCGTTAATTTATGATATTCCTCGTTTATAGTTCGACCCACGTTTTCGAGGGTAAGCGAACAACAAAACCTTCAGTAAAAACGCTCTACGTCCTATAAACTGAAACACGAGTGCCGAAGGCAAATTGTTTACCATTTACTATTACAACACTTTACACTGAAACGCGGGTAGTTTCAACAAAAATATTGTATATTTCCATTCAAGTATTTATTCAAGTCAATTAGGAGGGAATATTATTGTAATACAACAGTTTTTTAACTAAACCATTCGAAAAGTGGTTACGGTAACATCTTTTGAACGAACGAAAGCGAAAGTCATTGTTTTCGTCACGATTTTATCCCACTTTCCACTTTAATACGTACGTCATTTCAGCAAAAATATTACATTTCCGTGAATGTAGTATATCAAGCACAGTATGAATAGAATATCATTGTAATATAACAGAATTTTAACCGAAAACTATTAAAAAAACGAATAACATCTCAAGAACATCGGAAGCTTAGGTAAAGTCTTTTGTTTTCGACATGTATTTTATCCTATTTTACATTGAAATGCATCACGTTTCAGCAAAACTACTATTTATTTCCGAGAATATATTCATTCAGGCGCAGTTTAGGTAAAATATACGTGTGATGTAATAGTTTTTTAACTGAAAACGATTCGAAAAACACGTACCCTCTAGCCCTGTTCAAGGAGAGGACTGGGAGAAGAAGCTGTTTGGTGCTGCAGATGATGACAAAGAAAATGATTTTGATGGATTTTAATGAAAATATTCAGAAATATGGTATCGTAATATTTATTCAAGTCAATTAGGATATTATTGTAATACAATACAACAGTTTTTTAACTAAACCATTCGAAAAGTGATTACGGTAACATCTTTTGAACGAAAGAAAGCGAAAGTCATTGTTTTCGTCACGATTTGATCCCACTTTCCACTGTCATACGTATGTCATTTTAGCAAAAATATTACATTTCCGTGAATGCATTATATCAAGCACAGTATGAATAGAACAATATTTTGAGTCTTACTCTTTCCATTTACAGACTACTGTACAAGCCCATAATAATGGCTCCTAAAGTAGATAAACTTCGTTGTGTGAAGAGAAAGAACACGTTGAAATTGAGTGACAAACTTGAAATAATCAAGAAACTAGTACGTGGTGTGAGCAATACTGTTCTAATGGAAAATACAACATTGGAAAGTCTACAATTTATGATATCAAAAAGGCAAAGAATAAAATTCTAGAATTCACAGCTTTTTCATTAAAACTGCTCGTTTTGATAAATGAAGCATGCTATATTTGCGAATGAATAAACTATCAAAATGTACCTGTTCATCTCTTCTTTATTCCTCCTTAAATTTTAATTTTAAAAGTACTGCCTGAGAATCCGGAAAATCCGAAAATCCGGACCGACCCAATCCCCAAGCAGTCCGGATTTTTGGACTTTTACTGTATTATTATTGTTATTATTATTATTATTATTATTATTTTATTAATATTATTATTGTTATTATTAATATTATTATTATTATTATTTTATTTTTGTTTGCTTTATTATATTTTTTACTATGAATTATTATTATTATTATTATATTTTCGCCCCCCAGGCCCCGATGTGGGTCGGTGACCTGTGCCCAGGTGGGCTGATCCCTGTATAAAAAATAAATACATAAATAAAAATAAATAAATAAATAAAAATTACTCCACTGCAAAACTTTTGTTTTTTGTTATTTCGGATAAGGGATTGTCAATCTACGATCAAAATTTTTTTCTGGTTTATTCTTGTTACTTCATAAAATACAGCATCATGCATATAGAAATCATATTTTGAGCATCCTGTACATCTGCTCGTATGCTCACCCCAGACTTCTGATAGATGTGTCCAGCAATAATTTATCCTTTTTGATTATGGCATTCCTAAAATGATTTCAACACAACAGGCCACCACGTAAGTTTCCCCACATTTCTTTCTGCAGTGCTGTACTGGTTCTCAAATACTGTATAGGCACAAACACACTCCCTTGTTCTAGTTCTTTACTGTCTCCACTAATCTCAATTAACCACAGGAAACATAATTTCTGTGAAAACACAACAGAACACCTTGGCCATGCTACTTTCGACACACTATCATCTAAGGATCTGTGAAGTGTGTTGTGGCCAGGGTGTGGGAAGGTAATTTACATGAACTGGGATGACATAAGACAGACAAGTTGTCCTACTCCTACAATAGTTGGCATCATAACTACAACATATCCTCACAAAACTACCTTGTGGAGGACACCTTCTTTAAGGAGGTGACGTCCTGGGGCAATGATGCTAGGTAGGGTACGCTTAAAGGCACGCTGGATCATCAACATTCGTTGGAGATTCTCCGCTTTACTAATGCTGCGGTTGATATGTTCTGCCACCTCACCCACCTCTCCTACTGCCTCTGTAACAAATAATCAAGTCACATTACCAACAAAACTAGTGTGTCATCCTACCAAAGTCGTAACAAGTACAAATTAAGTTTATAACACAAAGTACAAACACCATAATAATCATTATATAAAAATATTACAAATACTGAAGAGGCAATACTTATTTCTGATGTTATATTAACATACTGTAGTAATGTGCAATGGGTGACAAATACTTAACACTACACTGCTGTGTGACACTAGGTGACTACTTTGACATGTTGAAGCTTACCTCTACAGTTACTGTGTAGTGCTGTTACTCTACTGAAAGACACTACAGTACTTACGTACAGTTATATAACACCACTGAATGATGCTACAACATGAAAATTCCTTAAGATGCTGCATGACATCACTGAGTGACAAAGGAGTGTTTTATAGCACTAATAAAGACAGTGATATGTAATACCTACTGTGTAACACAACTAGGATGGCTGAAACTTACTTTCAATACTACTATGGTGTGGGTGATCATCAGGGGTGTGTCTGAGCAGCTCCCCCAGCAGTAGGCGGTACCGTGGGATGCGCTGCACGGGAGTGATGAGTAATGAGGGCAGTTTGGCTTGAACCTCAGGTCGGGATTCTGTTCCCGTAAGCCATGACCTTAACTTGTCGCTTCGTCTCTCCCACTCCTATAAAGACAACTATCAAAGTAGTCTCCTTCATATATTAGTCATCTCTATATCAAGAGTATAAGACATGTTGTACTGTATTCCAACACATTCTAGTCAAAGATTTCAATAAAAAATTACTTTTGAAAGCATCAAAAGAATAGGAAAAGTATTCAATGGAAAAGAGTCCTGGGGGGTGTCTGTTCAGATACATGTTAAGGGTATCTGAGGGTCTGATATTTGTTTTATTATTCAGTGTTCCTCCGCTTATAAAGCCTCTTGGGCATTTCATTACGGTAACTCACTGGTAATAATACACGGTGAAAGGTAAAAATGGAGTACAGTACTGATTCTGATATCTCTTTTTATGATAGAACACAGTCGTGATAACTGGGGTGTTGTATGTCCTTAGACATTCCCTCATAATGTAAGCCAGCTTTGCTCTATGTATCCATTCATGATACAGTACACAAATAGTACTGTACATTGAAATTCTTCCTTCCTTGCGACACCGTCCACCTGACTGGGCGATGAAGTCCAAGATGATTGGAGAATGAGGGAGAGATCAAAATTTATAAGAAAATAAGGTTATAGTTGAGAGGAGGAAGGGGTTGATGTCAAAGGTGATTGCAAGAGCACACAGGGACTAGGTAAATCCCCTTACATGAATTTGGCATCATTTTGGAGAAACAATGTTTCTAGGTCATCAGCAAAGGCAATGGTCTGATGTCTGGTCAACTGGAATGGAAAAGAAAAAATAGAAAATGATATACACTTACCAATAAAAGGTTTATAGCTTGCTGATAGTTTTTGGCATAAGAAGAGTACACCTTTAGAAATGGAGCCAAATGCAGGAAGGCAGCACCTACATTTTCATTTTCAGACGCCAAGGCCTTATACAGTTCTTCATTCATATGTCGCAGGGCAGCAAGCTCACCAAATATGGCTGCATGGATATCTCCAGGCAGGAGACATTTCTCTAAACATGGCCTTGCGAAGTACTGAAAGTTTCAGATGATGAAAACTTCACTCTGCACTGTCATGGATTACTTGGAAACTTAAGTCCTATATGAAAATTGTTTCAGGCATCACAGTTACAGATGCCAACTGATGAATAATAATGCGATAAAAGAAAAGCAGCATTCTCTCTCATAACACGACAAATGTTACCAGACTCTCTAACATCTTACTGAGGAAGCAAAACTTCCTAAGACAAAATATTTTGTAAAAAAAAAAAATAATAAACTTCTTAAGAGTAAAGACAATTATGAAGATAATGCAACTTACAGTGTCAAGGGTGTGAAGCTGTTTGAGATAAGTTTCTTCAGTTAAGACTATCTCCTGTACAACCTTGCTGCGTAGGGACTCATTCATTGTCACCCTTCAAATGAGGGAATTAAAAGGACAAATATTAAACCTTGTACTGTATTGTACTGTATATTAATTTAGATCTATCCAAAGCATTTTTTTTAACATTAGGTAGGAAATTATCTCGATATAATTTATAACATGATGAAACTATATTAAATATCCAAATGGTTATACAGGTTGACAACCCTTAATCCGAAATTCCAAAAACTGAAAAGCTCTAAAAACCGAAAGTTTTTTTGTGGGGCTTTAGCCCACCCAGGCACAGATCACTGACCCACATCGGGGCCTGGGGGGGCGAAAATGTAATAGTAATAATAATTATAATACTGTATGTATGTGTGTGTGTGTGTGTGTGTATATATATATATATATATATATATATATATATATATATATATATATATATATATATACACACACACACACACACACACATATATATATATATATATATATATATATATATATATATATATATATATATATATATATATATATATATATATATATATATATATATATGTGTATATATATATATATATATATATATATATATATATATATATATATACACCTAGACCCCGACTTACGACTACGTGGACTTACGACCGTCGGGACTTACGACCCCCTCAGATATAGATAAAAAAAAAAAAAAAAAATTTAAAATTGCACACGCATTTTCTATACCGAAACGTTTTCAGTTAATGTAGTCTCCATGTATAATTAGAAAATTATGGGGGCCCCATGTGCATTCAGCTGAGTACATTAAAGGTTAAGTGCTCAGTCACACTGTATCCATTCCTTATTATTTATTACTTTCACTGTACTGTATCCATTCATCATTATTCATTACTTTTACTGTACTGTATTTCATTGTAGATTTTTATTAAATTTTTTTTTTTTTTTTTTTTTTTCATCTATGTCGGACTTACGACCTGGATTTGGTCCCCAACCCCACATATATATATATATATATATATATATATATATATATATATATATATATATATATATATATATATATATATATATATATATATATATATATATATATATATATATATATATATATATATATATATATATATATATATATATATATATATATATATATATATATATATATATATATATATATATATATATATATATATATATATATATATATATATATATATATACAGGTTGTACTCTCTTTCAGTCCGCAACCTCGACCTGACCAGTGCCGACCATGGAAATTCAATTTTCCTGGATAGATAGTAACTTGTGCTTATGCTTGAAGCACTAGCAACACTTTCTCTGCATCATGGTCTTCTTTGAAGGGTTAAATGTCGATAGTAGTTTCTCAAATTTCGTAGTTTTAATTCTAACGAATTTTATTGGAACACACAAAAATAAATAAATAAAAATTTGACGGCGGAAACTTGAATTTCGACGGGTTTGAACGGCCCGCCAACGCAGACGACGTAATCGTGGTAAACAGCGCCATTTCTCTTATGTACAAAGATTCATTATTGTTTATTACTGAATGTCGCTTTTATTGAATTAATTTTTATGTGTGCAAAATGAGCAATACAATCTATTAATAATACGCTGAATATTAAACACACGGAGAAATGACACAGCATTGTTTTCATGGATTACAAAACCAGTGACTGACTGGTTCTACATATAAAACAGAAGAAAATAAGACCTTGGTAGAGCTGTAGTAAAATTAATATGGTTGTTTTTAAGTAATGTTATTTAATGTTAATAAATGGAACAATAGAAGTAGCTAATGATAATGGTAAAGAAATAAGAGAGATCGCGATGTAAGTGCGATGAGCACATGTGAAAACATATCGACATTATTTTACATAAGAATATGAAAGCAACACTTATTTACTGTTCATATATAGTGTAATTAATGTTTCTGAATTTGTTTTTATTGAATTAATGTGTGTGTGTGTGCAAAATTAACAATACAATTTATTAATAATATGTGGAATATTAGAGGAGATCTAGACGGTTGCCGGGCATTGCTTATAAAAGAAGTTACAAAACCAGTGACTCATTGGTTCTACATATAAAACTGAAGAAAATAAGACCCCTGATTTTAGTAGTAAAATTAATGTAAAAAATTAATATGGTTGTTTGAAGTACCTGTAATGTTATTGAATGCTAATAAATGGAAACAATATAAGCACAGTATAGCTAACCATTAATGGTAAAAAAGTGAGACTACAGTATGTAAGTGCACACATGTGAAAACATATCGCCATTACTCTACATAAGAATATGAAATCAACACTTATTTACTGCTCATATATTGAAGGGTTAAATGTTGTACTCTGTATAGACAAGAGAGAGAGAGAGCATCTAACTGCCGGATGTAAACAAACCTTAATTTCCCACTGCTTTTTTTTTAAGGGATTAACCCACCCGGCATAGGTCACTGACCCACATTAGCCTGAGGGCAAATTTAATACTCCTGTAATAATAAATAATAATAATTCAGATAAAAAAAAAAAAAGCTGCCTATCTACCTATTGACAACTAAAATCGCTCCGACCACAGAATGCCGGACTAGAGGTACAACCTGTATATATATATTGTAGATCCTCCTATAACGCGATAATTGTGTTCATGTAAAATATCGGTTATAGAAAATGGGTAATAGAAATAACAGGGCTTATGGAGAAAATAGGTTAGGTGCAGATTACTCGAACGAAAAAATTTAGTAGTTAGCCTAATACAAAGGATAATAAAGTTCAATAAATGTTACATTCATATCTAATAATGAAATCATACAGTAAAATGTAACACTTTAGTTGATGGGGGAGAAGGGTGATTTTGAGGTTGATAAAATCGAGCTTCTTCAAGTGTTATATCCTTCATTTACGATCATCACCGAATTCTATCACCAGAACGCTTCTCGATATTCTTTACTATATTCACAGTTAACAGTGGGGTATGCTATAAATCTAACTTAAACTCCTACAAATCTAACATTATTTAATTTTTTTTGTTTTTTTCTAATTTATTGCTTTTTTATTACAAATATTAATGATATTCTTTATTTCAGGGTTTAGATGCATATTTATGCACTTTTTTACTTTTTACAATTTTATATTATATTTTTCAGTGTTAAGTGGTTGTATTTGGGGGCCTAGAACGATTAATCCTATATTCAATTAATGCTATAACAAATAAGGTTCTAGAACCAATTAGATTCGTTATAGCATACCCCACTGTACCACAAAATTGGAGAAATAGTAAGCAAAAATCCATATAGCAAACAAGCGTCACATATACAAATATCGTTTCTAATTCATATATCGCGATAGAGCAAATTGCTATCAAAACACGCTATATAGAACTCTTATATATATATATATATATATATATATATATATATATATATATATATATATATATATATATATATATATATATATATATATATATATATATATATATATATATATATATATATATATATATAATAAAAACACATGGACTTTGAACATATAATCAACTTAACCTCACCAGCAAGGAATCAAACCTCACCTACTGGACTAAAAATAAAGAAGTATATATATGTACCTCGCTTCATACCAGCTGATTCGGTAAAATGCTACTGACACCACATAAGAGCCGCACGCAGTTTCCCAATGAGGTTTATGGCGCCATCAGCTGATGAACAGCTTTGTGTGAAATATAACAGTCTAGAACTGCTTTTAGTGTCCTTGTGGCCTAGCGGTGCCGCTCCTAGTCTCAGTAAGGTCGAGGGTTGATTCCTTGCTGGTGAGGTCGCTGATTATATGTTCCAAAGTCGCGTTATATGGACTAAAATGAAGTATATATATGTACCTACGGATTTCATACCAGCTGGATTGCGTAAATGCCACGACACCACATAAGAGGCACGGGCAGTTTCCCAATGGAGTTCACGACATGGCGATGAACAGGCTTTGTGAAAATATAACAGAGTCTAGAACTGCTTTAGTGTCCCCTGGCCCAGGCAGTGCCGTTCCCTCAGTCCCACCCAGTAGGTCGAGGTCTAGATTCCTTGCTGGTGGTCATGATTATATATATATAGTATTAATATATATATATATATATATATATATATATATATATATATATATATATATATATATATATATATATATATATATATATATATATATATATATATATATATATATATATATATATATATATATATATATATATATATATATAGTTATACCCCACTTAACGGTCAATTGAACCCCAGAGATCCCGCTAATGAAATCACGTTATGACAACAGAACATATGGGATTAATTCAGCAGAAACCAGCCCGACCCCCAAACTCCACTTTTTGAAGGCCATACCTGTATTTGTAGTAAATAACATCTTAATTTTATGATGGCAATTTTACAAATTAATACTTAAGAAATAAAAATACGATGCTCAGAGTTAATGTCCATTCAAATAATGGACTCAACTCCCTCACTCTTCTCACACTACACTCACTGGCTCTTCCCTCTCCAGAGAAATTTTGGGAAAACCACTAAATTTTAATAAATAATACCTCAAACTAAAGTTAGCGATTATACAATTGACATTGCTGGTTCCTTGTAAGACCAGGAATATTTTGAATAAATGTCATATATTTTGCACAAAAGATAACATAGTTACCTAGAGAAAAATTTTTATCTAAAAATTGTATGTTTAATACAAAATATATGATGTTTATATTCAAATGATCACAAATTAAAAAATCAATAAATGTAAAATATAACCGACCGGGTAATTTGTATGAATTTTATGAGCTAAAACAAATATCTTCAGTTAATAAAAAATATCACGACACTATTTGTCAATCAAAATTACCCCACCCTCCCCCCTCTCCAACCGCATACAGATTCAGTCCCAACCCCCCACACCCCCACCAATCCTCCCCAGAATTTTCAATTATTATTAAATAATACCTCAGATTAAAGTAGGATAAATATAATTGACATTGCTGGTTACTTGTAAGACCAGGAATATTTTGAATAAAATATATATATTTTGCACAAAAGATACATAGTTACCTAGAAAAATTTTTATCTAAAAATTGTATGTTTAATCTAAAAATATATGATGTTTATATTAAAAATGATCACCAAATTATAAGAATTCCAGCAATGTAAAATATATTCTGGCCAGGTAATTTGTATGAATTTTATAAA